CTGGCGTGGACTATGCAAACGATATTATATCGAGGCGCAGTATAGGAAGCGGATTTCGTCATACGCCACGGCCTCAAAAGCTGACCTAGGAGTCAATAGTCACAGGAAGTCGCTCCGGCACAGCAGATCAGAAAAAGAAACAGGGAACTGAATCGGTAGAGGGGGTTGACCAATTCAAGTATCTCACCTCCAACATCTCCAGCAGTCATAATTATACAGGAAGATTGCCTCCAGTGCTTTCGGTAACATGTCGAACATTTAGGCTAATAAAACAGTAATCCGTTCAACAAAAATCCACATGTACACTGCGTTGACCAGATGATCGCTGTTTTATGGCATGGAGACAATTATTCACATCAATCACGAAAATCTATGATTGAACTGCATGCAGTGGCTTCTACGAATAATGCGTTTAAATGGCAGGATCACTAAGCGAATGACTCCATTCTCTTCCACGCACAGATGACCTCCTCAATTGAAGCGGGGATAAAGAAAACAGATTAAACCTGTTATACAAACTGCTGGTTGATCACAAACTATTGACTGAAGCAACAAACTTGTCGCGCCGGGAGCCAAAAGACGCAAACTTCAACTAGGAGACCAGCGTTCCTTCTTCAGTGCACTAATAGATGGTTTATAAGCTAATGTGCTGAAAAGTTGCGAACTCAGAGCACATCGAAAACCAAATACGTTCTTTCAAGTAAAAGGGCAAATGCCATGATCTCAGAGAACACAAAAAAATACAGAGAATATGACGATAGATACGGTAGTGGAGCACTGCGGGACCTTCAAGAGAATGCAGCAACACTGTCAGCGAAACGGTAAACAATATGACACATATACCTTGTGAAGCGGATCCTGTACGCGGCAATCACATATCATAATGCTTCGGTCATTTGAAAGTGCACAGAGCAGATCTACCTAAATCAGAAAACGATAGGACCAACGAACTGAGTTAAAGAATTCAAACAAGTTAACAACTGTAAGAAACACAATAAGATACGAAAGGACATTTAAAAATTTCCATCACTGATCTCAAGCGTCCGTTTGATGCTTTCTGTAATTTACACCTGCTTACTGCAACATTTAAATGCAAATAACGGTGGGAAGTTGTACATGCATCAATAGGAAGTGTTTTCACGCCCCGCAATACATAACTCTTGAAGAATATTTTAAACATAAGACCCTAGCACTGAGTTATATCAATGACGGTAAAGCAAAATCAGACGTATTACAGAAAATCAGAAACAACAAAGAACAATTAAAAAGGATAAATGTTGTGTGAATAACGACAATCTGGTTTAAAAATATGCTTACTTCGACAGGGTTGAACCTGACTTTGTAAATCGTATCCACACCCCACACGAAACTGCGTATTGGCGAGCTATGCTCCTGATCCCAGATGCTAACTCCTTCGCCGCATGTGGCAAACACGGCGTCTTTCCAGTGATGCGTAATGTCCTGCAGCGGATACTGAAATACAAGCGTTCAGTTATGCACTCAAGCATACAACATTTATGATCATAATCAATGCCATTGAGGTTGCAACAGAAAAACCGAAAACACATCTGTCATGAGCTGCTTTGTCCTCCCGAAGCAAAACACAGAATAAGGCGTGCAGTTCAACCCACGTCCCAAAACTCCGCTGCAGTAAATGACGTCAATAATTTTTAAGGTAAGTAATAAAGGAATGGAGCTGTTATTACTTCCGTGAAAATGTAAAAAGAACTCCATTTTAGAGTAATAGGAATGGAAGCCTGATATGCTTAGTCAACGCAGCATGATTAAACGTATTAACCATAAAAGAAAAAATCGACCATGACAGTTGTTAACTTTTAAACAGTGTATGCTCAATCAGTTTATTTAACAGAACTAACCTAATTTTTATAATCCCCACGTCTTAAAAGGTCACCTGCACCCAGAAAACAATAGAGTAGTTCCTTACGTACTCCCCCCATTAAACATCATTATGCGTCGAAGCAATACGCAGACCAACCGGCGTCTTTGCTTCTTCGTTAGAGCAACTGTCTCCATGTCGTACAACACTGACCTGACAGAGGCAAGGTAGCTGATTTCGAGAATGCTAGCACGAAGACTTACAAATCTGGACATTCAGCTATAAAGTTGCTAGTCATCCCTCCCCCTCCCATCAGTCATACGACAGAAAACGAAGTTAAGGTGCATACGTAGATCATTTTTACAGATAATGGAATGTCACCATTCGTCTATTTACAAAGTAATTTAGCAGATTCGCGGGAAAGAAGATTGCATTAAGATTCTGACTTAAGGCTGTACGACAGGAACTCGACAGCCTGAGGCGTCGAAATAAAATTTTACAAACCTCGAGGAATGCTTGTTTGGCTTCCACAACTACGCCTTCAACTGTGAAATTTGCTGCGTTAAATTGAACATAAATCGAAAATTAGAAAACAGTGACGCTACGTTTAAACTGAATATACAGATGACGAAATTTGAGCATACTTATTCTGAAATAAAATTGTTTTGAATGGCGACTTCAAGAAAGTTGAAAATGTATTCGTGCTACATACTATTAATGCACGCCCAGGTTATACATCTCGTTTCTTCTCAATACAAATTTAAGCGTGACATAAGACTGGTTTATTTTACTCTGACGTTTGGCTTCTGGCACACAAGCCATCGTCACGAAAATTTTTCACAACCCAAGGACACAGTAAAAAATTCAATAGTGAAAACTCAATCAACTAGTGAATTGTATACTGTACCCTTGTGCTGTGAAAAACTTGATTGGTCATGTACCGGATGCTGAAAAGTCGGAATAACGTATATGCGTTGAGAAAAAGTGAGATGTATCAGTACCATTTTACGCGCTTTTGTCAGGTCAGCTTCCGGAAACTATTCAATACAGTTGCTCAAAAGTCATCGATTTGCTACAGATCTTTCGGTTGAATAAACCGAGGGTACAGTTGGTACATTTCTTACTAAGGCATGAACAGGAAATATAACTCGGTGAATCGTTCAGACTCACACCTCCAAAGTGATAACATGCAAGGCCAAAAAATCTCTTTGCTCGTCACTACTCCGTACTTCGTGAATGCAAGTTGTGTTGCAGCATTAATAATTCAGTCTGTCATAGAGAGTTGATGTTTCTCACTGAAGGGAATCAAACTATGAAGAATTTCTGTTAATGTCTCTCAATGTACCTTGGACAAGAGCGTCAACAACGGTTCGTCAGGCTCGACGGTTTCCTGCAAAGGCCACTGTTTCACGCACTTGTCATCGCCAACGGTAAAAAAGGTTTCACCGGTAGGATCTGTGCAGATGCCCCTGACGAAACCGGCATGCGCGTTTATGGTAGATAGACATTTTTTCTGTGTCACGTTCCACAACTTCACCTGAAGCCAGTTAATTTAATGTCTTTGCTGTTTTTCTACTTCTCCTTTTCCTTTGTTCTATAAAGCTTACCTGACCGTCGAAAGAGCCAGAAAGAAGAATAGATAAATGGGAAGGGTGCTTGGACAAACAGTTTAGTCCGTCCAAATGACCATCGAGACTAGCCAGGAATGGCTTCGCAAACACTCGCTCCAACTTGGCGGCATTCAAAGCCCGGACGTATTCTCTGCTCTGTTGGAAAGGATGCAATGCCGGATCATAATTCCTCGGAGCTAAAGTAACGTATTAAATTAACGGCAAATAAAACTGCCATACTTTTGAATATATCGTTTTTCGTCTCTCGGAGGTAATCATCGGGATTCCGAGAAATTACTTTCACCTTCATAGCTGCTCCAGAACCATCCAAGTACGGCTAGTGTACACCCACACCGTTCCACATTCGCTTATTATTCTGAAGTATTCAAATTATAATTGAAAGAACGAATAGCATTCATGCAAATTAAATTTCTTGCCATCCGCAATATTAAGTTTCGGGTTTCTCGCACCATCCACCCCGTTTATTAAATTCTGTTAGTGCCAATTTTGTCGACGGCGTTGCAGAACACTTCGCTCATTAATGACGATTGATGTGAAAACCTAGCGGAAGCCCAGGATCGCTGCTTAATCATGTGGCTTAAAGCCTGTTAGGCTGCCGTTTGGAGGTCAGAAACGAACTTCCTGATAGACACGAGAGGTACATCTGGTAGTTAAAGAGAAGAAAGCAGCGTTCAAGAAATGGCTTGGAAACAAGGATCCTTCTGCTCGCGTGCGATATGTCGAGGCACGAAAGGCGGCAGCGGAAGCAGTGGCGAAAGCGAAGGCAGACTCCTGGGAGAAGTTGGAGTCGAATTTCCGCACGGCAAACAAGGTATTCTGGAAGACTATCCGCCGGCTCCGAGGAGAAAAGAAGGGCAGTTTCAGAGTCTTGAAGGACAGGTAGACACCCTCTTACCGAGGACATAGGAAGATCTCCTATATCCTCTTTCGGCGATGGAAAGAGCACCCTGCTGAATTCCCTAACCCCAAGCAACCGCAGGAAGACTCGACCGCAGAGCAGCAGAG